TGGATGCCAAGCTTTCTTCGAGATGCATAATCTCGAATACGACTGCAAACCTCTAACTGATGAGTACAACATATACATAGCCAAAACAAAGGATATAACTCTGTATCAATGTGATGTTTACAAGTTCCCCAGTCTTGCACCGTCTTTGAAAGGGTCATTTGATGTTATTTGGGATCGAGCTGCACTAAGAACCACAGTTGAATTGCCAGAATGCGCTAATACAAAGCTCTACTTGGATGTATTGCATGAGATGGTCAGTGCTAAAGGGAAACTTGCTCTGGAGAGTACTCGCTTCGATATCACACAATGCAAGACCTCATTTTACCCGCCGGTTATCAGCGACGAATTTCTTGAGAAGTTAACCAAGGAAAAGTGGAATTTGAAAAAAGTAGATCAACTAGAGTACGTAAAAGGAGAGGGCCTAGAATTCTTTTATCGTGACTATGATCATGATGTAGCACTTCATATATTGACGCCTAAGTGATAATGATAGCACCTTCATTATGGGCGATGTCACGCGAACTTTACATGTAAGAACATTTAACCTAGAGAAAAATCAGTATTTTTAATCATATCAGGAATTTTTTACAAGGATTTTTTGGAGTCTATATCCTTTGTTTAGAATGTTTGGATAGCTCGACTAGTTGTGCTTGATTTGGGTGTGAAATGTTTATCTAGTGAAAATAAACTCAAAGTATCTTATAACGACATGAATCTTTCTTTCCCACATATCTCTAAACAAAAAATAAAATAAAACGGAACTTCTTACAACATGATTATTTCAAATAAACTCTGCGATCAATGTAAAAGTGGCAAAAAATCGGGCGCTTCGGTAGAAAAGTTTGTTTACTTTTGGTTGGTCAGCGGACTATCCCAAAGAGAGCGGGAAAGTCAGAATCAAAATGGCGGGCAACGAAGTCTTGAGCAGGTTCAATAAACTCCCAACAAGAAACCAAGCTACTGCTTTGGTAGGATATATAATCTACTATTTTTATTGTAGTTTTAAAAAGCTTTATATTAAAAAGATGAATAAATATTGACAACTTGTAAAACAGTTTGTAGGTGTGAAAGGATCCGGTAAACACAAGATAGCTAATGCTCTTTTAAAGGAATATGCTGCAGACTTTCGAGTTCAAATGTAAGCATTGATTGCACTTTATATTGAACTACTTAACTTGTTAAAACGTTAATCGATCTTGATATATATATTGTAGACGAATTGCTACGTCTCTTCCCCTACCACCAGACACAGATGACAGCAGACCAAGGATTGATTTCATTGTTTTTTTCATGGATGCATGTAACAAAACAAGGTATAGTATGCGTAGCAACGGTTACGTGCGCCATCTTGAAAGGTAACCATRCCTTTGCATCAAAGCGAGACAACCGTTGAGCGTGCAATCATAGATACCTGTGAATAATTGTCTGTAGGTGGGTGTAGGTGTGAAAGGTTTCTATCACTGCACGCTCAACGGTTGTCTCACTTTGATGCAAAAGCACGGCTGCCTTTCAAGATGGTGCAGGGAACCGGGAAGAAGACTATTATTGTATAGATGGACTTCTTTATCTCCAACCAACCGCTACTGAACCATAGGCAATCCTGCATTCCAGTCACCACCATGATCTTTTATCTCCTTTCAGCTATGATTTGGTCAAGTCTGCACTGCATCATGTTGATATTGAGTTTTTCTTAGGACATTGCTGTTTTGTGGCTACTAGTGGTAACAATTTCTTTAAAGCAATAAAAATCACATTTTCATGCATTCCTGGTGAAATAAACCACATGGRATGTTGGGAGAACACGAAAAATGCGTAAAAAATCTTGAGCCAGAGGCAAGGAATGTACAAAAATATGTTGTTTATTGCTTTTATATCTGTGCGTTTACCGTGAAATAAACAATAACATTTGACCAATCAGAGAGYGTGTACTATGGTAGCTATAATATAAATTCCTTTTAAAAATCAGCCTGTACATTTTAAATTGTATTTTGTTTAAGCAAGCATTGACAGCAACTCTAGCAGAATAAATCAAAGCTGATCAAAACACGTAATACCTAGAAAACCATCAATTCATTCCTAGTTTTTCATTGAATCCCTTAAAGTTTAAAATCCAAAAGACCAGACACCAAGGTGGTGATATGAACCAACACCATGGGGCACAACTGCAATGTGAAACTAAAAACTAAAGCCATTCAAATGACTTGGGAGGAAATGCTTTGGATTTGTTTGTTTCAGTAAGAAGTGAATCTAACATTGCTATCAGCACACAAGACATTACAAGACTAGCTAACAGCTATGACTCTCCTCTTCTTTGTGGAGAAATACAGGTACTACCAGACAATGAATTATATTGAAAGCCTAAGTTAGAGACAACTAATWCAATATGTTACATTCCAGACAGAGAGAGGTCAAAAGATCTTGGCCAAAAAACTCATCAGATATTTGGGGATTGCTGCTGGATTTAATCCTGGTATAACACCAATGCTACTGGACACCACTAAACCATCATTAGTAAATGAAGAAGAAGAATCTAATCTAACATAAACTCACTGTACTAGAAAACTATGAMTTATTCCTGAACAACACTAAACCATCAGTTGTGAATAACCTCACTTTACTGCTGCACTAGGAGAATATTATTTATTATATATAACAGAGTGAACAGCTTTCATCAGTATTTTGTATTATAGAGTAAAATTATCAATGTAAACTTTGTACATAATTGTATTACAATAGTTTTCAATTGTACACGATTTTGAAGCAGGCAAATAACTTTGATTTGACATAATAGTATCATGTTAGTGAGTAAACAAGGTTTAAAAGAATTCACATAATACTAAAATGATGTTCTATGATGATTTTCAGAATGGTGAGTTCATTCCTAACTTGGTTCCAAACTTTAATTTCGCTCTTTTTTGGAATCGTATGTATAATCTGGGGAAGAACCAAAATAATCATAACTGAAATTTAAYGCTGGAATTGCAATGACATGTAGTTTTTTTAACGGAAAATTCAGRTGGGAAATGGACTTACTTGATATAACGTCGTTTTAGTACAAGTTCTGTAAACAATAATGCACTGACAGGCCAAACAAAGACAAGGACAATAAGATAAGAGGAAACATCTTTGATGGTGTAATATGCACCATAGCTAGAAATCCAGATCGACTGTGATATAATAAAATAGAGAAGCTGTAGGAAAATGCTGAAAATAGAAATCAACATCAATTTTATAAAGAATTAAGAAACCCAAAACTAACAATAGCAGGATCTAGCTAACTGTCCTGCCTGATTACCAACTTTACAGAATTATAATCATGGTGGCATTGTTGTTCATGTCTTTCTCCGTAACATGACACTTTCCCTTATATCTGCTGGTTTTTCCCCTCATCACTATTTGAACATGTAATTGAGCATAGTGCTGTGTATGCTGTAATGATAAGGTAGTGTGTGATGATGGGTGATGTATTTGGAGCTCTGTATTTGTATATTCTCCCAGTTGACATTGGCACTATAGAAAATCAAAAAATTTAATATATTTAAAAAAATGGCTGTCCTTTTATCATTTMAATTTGGTATGTATCCTGTGTTGTTAGTTTAGTTAAAATTTATAAGTTTCTTTTTAACAGGTTTTTGTTGAAGTGTCAATAACTTACCATACAATAATACAGTACAACCAATGAATATTGGTAAATGGAGACCTTTTCCACAATGATTTGAGATGATGAACAAAGCTTGTAGATACCAAAGCTAAATAACAAATACAAWCAGCTAAACAAAGTAGGAAAGAATTGAAAAGACAAATGGCCAACTAGATGGGTAGTYGAATAATAAATCAAATGGAGACAAAGAGAGAAATGGCATCAGTGGCTACTAAAAGGCAAACTCGACACACACTCGATACACCTTCGATACACATTCCATCCACTTGATACACCTTCGATACACAATCCATCCACTTGATACACCTTCGATACACAATCCATCCACTCGATGTACTTACTAAAGAATAAAACCAGGGAAAATGCATTGATATCTTGTGCTAGAGCTAGTGCTTGAACATTACTTCCACCATACCCATTCCAAGGATTGCTACTGTTCCTTATATGAGAAATGCATTCTGTTAAAAAGCAAGACTTTACTACAGCCAGTTCAGTTAGCTTACCTGTCTCCAAATAAGTAGTGGCAAGACTTGCTGCTTTTTGTACAAAAACCATACAAAGTGAGAGGAAAGAGTACAACACAGATAAAGATGCAAGTGGGCAGGAAGCCAAGAGAGAAGTACATACAAAATGGATAGGCAATCTCCTACAAGAGTCAATAACAGTATCTTGAACAATAACCACAGCAAAAACACCCTTCTTTCCATCTTATAGCTCACCTTAAATGTCCGGTCATTTTTTCCAGTCATCATAGACATTAGTCCTTTGGAACATTTGGATCCAATTAAAGATGTACTAAGGAGGGGTACAGTRATGCAGGATAACCAAAGCAAATGCAATCCTGTTAGGGGAGGGGGTAGGAGTAAACATTGACACAAGAACATCAAGATAGTAAGCATGAGTTGACATGTCAAGATGAAGGTGAAACACTTTCTGAGACCAAAACTGAGGCGCCGAGCCTGAAATAAATGAATTAACCACAAATCCATAAATGACTTGGACTTTCTTTAATATTCAATTCATTTTCAATATAAATTGGTTAACTACCTCTTTGAGCAGACKTTTGAACTTGAAGTCAGTGTCTCGGTGGAAGGACAGTGAACATGGCAGTGAGTTCAACAAAGCACTCAGTTCCAAAGGTGATAATTCTGTTAACAATAGCACAAAATCTTCATTTCCTTCACTTCCACTTAAAGCTCTTCGCACACTTAGCAACAAACGTTATTTCTACCGTCATCATGCAAAGCAAGAGATTGTGGTTGTGTGATTGCAGCAAGCAACTACTCAAAATCTATCAACATCTCACCATTATCCATATCAGAAGAAGAAGAGTCCTGYTGCACAGAAGACAATTCAAAAGCCACCTTATTAGCATTCTTGTTTCCTGTTTGCAGTTGTGGTGTACCTGATCGGAAATCCTTTGGAAGTCCTTTCAGGCAAAGTTGGGGAAACATTGGTTCGATGGCAACACTGGAATTAAAACATTAACTTGATAAMAAGATATAATCCACTGACAAATGATCAATAAAAGAGGTTTCTTTGCTAATAAATATTGAGTTGGAATGTTTAGTTTACATCATGTACCTCATGTCTGCTTGTGTAAAAATACTTGTGTTATTCACATTGAAAGAGCTTCCAACACAGCAAACTACTTCACCATGTTCCTGCATGATAGTTATCATCTCTTGCACGGCTGAAAAACAAAAAAWTGAGGAAGACAAAATAATAAAAGGTGAAAAAGAATAAGAACAGAGAAAAGAAWATATGCAGCAAATAACATCAATTCACCTGAAGGACTGCAGTCTGTAAACAAGGGTACTAATAGAGGAACATTATCAACGTTTTCAAGATGCGGTCTGATATTATGTACACCTCTTGGTARTTTGGCCTGCACATAAGGAAAATCTTATTAAAAAAAATACACTACGCCAGGGTTTGTGCAGACACAAGACAAAAATTAAAAATAAAATTTGTTTACATGTATGTTGTTTATAAAAGAATTTTCCTGACATAAAAGAGCAGATTTTGTATGACTGTGCAAAAAACACGGTATTTTCGCGCTGTCACCGTACCGTGCCATAGCGGTGATRTATTGTTAAATCTTTATTTTTATTTGGAATCTTCGAATGCGAAGGTTCCTTGACCGTACCATGCAGTGGACGTTATGTAATCCATACCGTTGCACAGTTATATGAAATCTGCTCTACGAATAAATCTTTTCTTTACTCTATTATAAAAGAACCAGTAGTCTTCACTAGCTTCTTGCTGTTGTTCATCCCCAAGAAGTGTTGATGTTTCCGTTTTGTTGTGGTGATCATCTTGTTCACTTGGATCAGTTTTATTCACTGGAAATAAACTCTTTTTTAGTTTATAGCATACACAAATTACACACTATTCGTGAAATTTGTTGATGACTCAGCACTTTTGGCAAAACTTACAATATAATGTAGACATTTTTGTGAGCTACATTTGCTTCCAACAAATAATTACTGTTATTAATATTATAGTGACAAGAATTATTAGTTCATTACATATTGATGAGTCTCTCAAAAGGCGAATAATCTATTCAGTATTGGAATACCCTGCCCTGTTCCCTATATAGTAGATCAGTTAAAAAATAATAAAAGTCAGCCAGCTAAACAATCAGTCAGACAGCACAGTCAGTCAATCAGTCAGACAGCACAGTCAATCAGTCAAACAAAACATGTACTAGAAACAAAAAGCAAACACCAGCCTTGTTCAATGGATTCCTGTATCTTTAGGTCAATCCAGCTAACATGCTTTTGTGGTCCATCATGCACAACATCATGCAGGCTATCATCACCTGGTGGATAACTACTYGAGTCTGTCTTGGCTCTTTGATGTGGTGAATGTGTYTCAGCTAGAGARATATGACAGTTCCATCCAGTTTCCAGTCCCATGCGCTCRGCAAAAACCTAAAAAGCAACAAATGAAAATAGTTGACAACAGACTGACCAATCAACAAGCAAGTTGGCTATGATTGACATGTGACCAATACTTACTCTACTCTTTAATTCATCTTCAGAAGAAAAATGTACAAATCTGACTCCTGCAGTATTCAAATCCTCAACCAGTGGAATGATATCCTGATGAATAAAGCATACATTTTCAACAAACTTTACAATTTTTTGGAAACAGATATTACAATAAATGATGGATGGACTTAATATAATTCTATATTATGGAGARAAAAATCATTACCTTTTTGGCTTGGTACTGCAAAGTGACCATACCAATAAACACTTGATTTCCTATTAACCTTAGATAAACAAAGAATTCGCTTAGGATTCCTTGTTTAGACTGCAATATGTCAAAAATGAGAAAAGGTGAAAGAGATAACAATAATGTTGATGAGGTTACAGGTTCTTACTTGTGATAAGTTGCAGCATCATTCACAGATTCAACTTGCTCAATTAATTGCCCTATMTTTATGTCATCTACAGAATTTGCTGCCTACACAAACAAATTATCATTCAAAAATATAACCAATATTCAAATCTTTCATAAAGGATTTACTGTAAACAACAAATCAATATCCATCATTGAAGCATACAAACAGTATATATCATAAATAAGTGTGTACAGAAACTTATATGGGACTTAAAACGTGTTACAGCGTGCCATGAACCATTGGAATATTCAAATCTAATTTGCATCTCATTTCTTTATTTGACCTTATTGGAACAATTAAATTTATCCTATAGCCAACCATAATGGGCCTTAAATATCTTAACATGGTCTTAACGTTCGTTTTGGACTTTTTAATGAGCTTTGAATATTCCAATGCTTGGTACTAAGAAATGTAATGGCATTACACATTTCAAGTCCCTTACAGGTTTCTRTTGTGTAATGTTATTTTACATACAACTGCACTGTCATCATTGTCCTTTATTTCTTCTGACATTTCTGAAATACTAAGCACATTAGGTGTGTTATTAATCACATCATAATCGGTTTGAGCTTTGTTACACACACACATAGAGATGACATTATGGGGAAAAGCAAATCTAACATACAATATGCCACTTTATATTGTACCTKTCATCTATACTTTCACTTGAGCTCCACTCATAGACCAATGGCAGCTTGATAAATACATCATTTTGACTGGAAGGAACCTGTACATAAAGACAATTACTAACAGCAATTACAAACATTATTATAGTCTGGAATTGTGTATGAATTTCAGTATGTCAAATGCATGCTAAAATGTTATTATGATCATACCTCAATGCATGGACGGTAAGAAAAAGCAACACACTGAGATGAAATGCTGTTTCTTTGATAAAAATCTAGTACTTTCTTCCTAATAGAAATACATATTGAAAACCATCAATTGATATAATGAATTGTGAATAAAGTGCATTAAAGGATCACAAAAAGAAAATTGCAATCTTGGAGAATTTATAGATGATCAGGTATAATTCCTTTCCAGCTTACAAGCCCTTTTTTAATTTTTTCCTGAAATTTTTGTTGAGAGTCATCATTGTTTGTAAAATATGGAACCAGTCAGAAAATATGGAACCAATCAGAAAGCAATTTTCATAAACGCATTTTTTYTTCAAAACAATGACTGCAGCATTTCTCTAATGCTGAAAGGGATATCATRATTAATATCATTAATAAACTTACTTGTCATGAGATGAAATAACATTGAGTGATGAGCCATCCCAAAAATCAGTGCAAGCATCAAGTACAAGATCAGGTGAGCCTTGAGTAAGCAACTGATGTGAACCTACAAGAAACAAACACAATCAGAGACTTGAGCTGTGCGCTGCCATGGTAACATCATTAGATCAACAATAACTGACCTGTATATTCTTTGATAACAAGACATGCCATGCATGGTACAGGCCGTTCTTTACAGACAGCAAGATAAGATGATGACTGTAGTACTGGACAATTAGCAATTGGAAACTGATAATACAACAATTGACATGAATTACTGAATAATGTAGACTGTCATAATATGATGAACTGAACTAACCTGAAGTGGGTGCACAACAAAGATGTGTTGTTGTTTATTAAACAAGCCCAGYGCACTCTCTGTGAATCCAATCTCTTTGCCAAGTAAACAGAGGCATCTGAATACATGCAGTTACATTGGAGAAAAAAGCATATTATATGTAAATAAAGCAAGTAATGCGGTATACTTACCTCTGAGGTGTTTGTACTGGCATTGAGTTACGAGTGAGTGAGAGAAATGCAGTTTGATCTGAAAAGCGCATGGTTCGTACAGGACAAGAGCATGGTGAATTAAGAAGTATATTAAGACCCTAAACAACAAACAGTTTTGTTAAAAGTTATAAGAGCAAGAAGAACGGGTACATGTATCCTGTGCTTTTGAACCACAGGCATCCCAACATCTTGGCTTCAGGCGTAATTATAAGTAATATTGCTAATTAAAAAAATTAAAATATTGTTAATTAATTAAAAGTCACCAATGCAACTTACAAGGGGCTTCAATGAATTGAGGTGTTCCTGCCATCTTTTGTCATCAAATCTCAATCCAAATTGACTCTTCAAATTTAAAGTATTTTCATATGTTACAAATATGTGCCAAATACATGCAACATAGCTGATAGCACCTACCTCTGGGTCATTACTGACATTAAGAACTGCAGCTCTACCTTTTAGATGAGTTCCTGTAAGAATCAAAGCACCAATAATTAATGATGATTTCAGGCAGAATGGAAATGTAGATTGATGGTTGTAAAGCTTGCAAAGCTCAAAGTCTGTACTTTTTCTGTCTCTTTGKCCCTTTTTTTCTTTTCTTTCATCAACTTTAATGCCATATAAATATTAACACTGAGWAGAATGCCATGAAATGATTAAACATTACCATCTTCTGATATCAAGTCATCATCATCATCAGATGAAGAAGAAGACGAAGGATCATCCATGTTACTGTCCTCATGACTTGTCTGTCTACTGATATCACTCTCCCATGTACAKGAACTGATCTTTCTGTCCCTAAACTTGTTATTGTGAAGTTGTCTCATAGATTTCTTACTTTGGAGGAAAAACACTTTTTCTACAGATGGATTAGGGAGTGATAATATACCATCTCTGTCAATGCAACACCAAACCTGGAAATAATAATTAGTATATATTCTGTAAGGAAAATATTGACACCTTATCATAAGCCATTAGAGCAAATTTCGTATGACTGTGCAAAAACATGGTACTTTCGCTCTGTGACCAAACCGTGTCGTAGCCGTGATGCATTAAATCTTTATTTTTATTTGGAATCTGAGAAGGCGATATTCCGTGACTGTGCAGAGTTGTGTCCGTGCCGTGTTCCGTACCTTTGCACAGTCTTATAAAACTCATTAATATTCATAAGGCAAAACACAATAGAAATCATAGCCCATGAAGAGAGTTGTATATTACATACAGATTTCTTGTTCATTTGCATAAACTTTTACTCTGATTTTCTCAGTCAGATTGAATTTTTTTTCAAAAGTTTCTTTAAAACCTGAGCTAATTTACCTTAACGTTTCATAAGTAATATACAATATTCGCGTGCGATCTGTACATGAGGTTTAAAACAGCTTGCTTTCAGCTCGCTGTTTTTTAAAAATCCTCATACAGATCGCCCGCTCATATTGTATATATTACATATGAAATCCGTTCTAAATGAGACCAACTCAATTTAACAATTAAACAGATGAGTATCATTTTCTACAAAGACTGACTCACACTAAGTACTCTAATTCAATCATTGCTTTTACTTATAGATTTATGAAAATTGTGAATGGATTATTTTTAAACCATTCATTCATACATTTCCAAAACTTACAGTAATATTGCCCAACACCTTTAAAAGATTAGCCGTGCGAGGCAAATGACAGCAGTCTCCAAGAAAATTGTCCCACAACTGAGGTAAAACATCTTTGACAGGAAAGTCTTTTTCAACCTGCAATGGCAAAATATACGAGACTGTGTTATAGTGTTACAAAAATATTAAAAAAATAAACCTAAAAAACACCAACCTTGACATTAGCAATTGARCCTTCCTTAAGTTTCTCAAACAATATGTTAATTCTTGAAGCTCCATAAAGGTTAACAGATATCCAAAGTAGAGGAAAGGAAAGAGGAAGAATTGGTAGAATTACATATGCCTGGTAAATAATATAGCAATGAGAGATTAATTGATGGTATAAACTATTATGAGAATCAGTGAGAATTAAAATTACATGAAGAATCATAATGAGATATTCAATACCTGAAGTAGAAATATCATTTCAGTCCAGTGCCCACTCTTTTTTGGTAGTACTAATAGCCTGGTTAAATTAACAATGAGTGACAAACCCTGAAATGTCAATAATGTACAGGATTGTCACAGATAATATTATCATATAAAATATTTTACAAAGTGATATTAATTTAATTAAAGGATTGAAACACAGTAAGCACTCACAACAACAGCCCACAATAGTTTCTTCTCAATGACTGTATTGGCAATAAAATGCTTCTCATTTTCAAGCAAACTGATTGGTTTATTGGGAGAACTTTTTAGCAGACCACTGTAAAAACAACAAATCAGTCAACAAGCATTCCTGCGATAATAATTAATGATATTATTCCTGCGATAATAATTAATGATATTATGGTTTTGACCTGACTTAAATAACAAGTGAATTTCTATTTACCTGATAGTAGATTTAAATGGTGCTTCTTTGACAACAAAAAGCTTTCTTGGATGCGTTTCACAAGGAAGAGTTGTTTGTGATTGTTCTTCARGATTACTGGAAGATATAACTGAAAAGAAGACTTTTAATCTAGAAATTCATAACCACACAATAATAATACCGTCGTTACCCAACCAGCCCAGACAAACGTTTACAACTGCAATTAGCAATAGACTGCAGCTGTCAATCAACTAACATGTTTTGGCACAAACTGCCAGTTGACTGAAGACAGTTTATTCTTAATTGCAATGAAGTCATGAATTTTGTCTGGACTAGTCAAGTACCAATGCATGCAGTGGTAAAGAGAAGTTCTTGTTTAGCTGATTCTTACCAAAGAAGAATCTATTAAATTTACCTTTTGATGGTTCATCGGGTAGATACATTTGTCCTTTCTGTAGGAAAAGAGACCCTTCCCTAAGCACACCTTCAGGAGTTGTCTAGATTGATATGAATATCAAAAGTAATTAATCAAAATTCTGCAAAAATTGATGAAGGTTGTAGAGAAAACAATATATGGAATAAGAGAATGCCCACAAGAATATTAAATGATAAACAGATTAAGGATTCAAGAGAAATGGAAAATATGGAAGATGAATAATAACGAGGAATGGAAAAATATAATGAATCAAGAAATGAATAAATGGGTTAAGCATTGTGACCTGCTAATGACTTTAAAACAATTATTTTTACTAGAGTTTTGAAATAAGACTTACAGTCAATATCTGTACATTTGCTGGAGTTGATATACTKGGTCCAAGTATAATGACATCGCCATGAACCAGTAGATTACAAGGTAAACTGATCAATTCACCATCACGGTATGTATTCACTAATGATATAGATGGTGATGATGGAGTACATGGGTCAACATAGTCAGGAGGATTCCACCCACAGAAATCTTGATATAATTGGTGAAAAATATAGGTTTTATCACAAATCATTTTGATGAAGAAATCCTAATTTGAGCATYAACTCTTTAAGCTTAAAAGGGAATACACTACCTGTACAACTGTCCAACAATTTCTTTGTACTTCTGTAGATTTCAGTACGCCTTAAGTTTTCTTCTCTTACACATAGAACCACATTGAATAACGATATTAAAAGAACCATAAATCCTTCTATCAAGAAATGACTTGACCTGAAAATAAAAAAACGCCATCATTAGCAATAATAGTAGTTTTATATCTATAAAAGGAGGTAGCATTAAAACTACATATTTCTGAAGAAAACAATATGGTGTACATTGTGTGTGATTTTAAAATCTGAAATGGTWAGGARTGTGATGCAAGRGAAAACAAAAGAGAACTTWSACAATATATATCRTGTACCTTTGAGATGACAAGCTTCCATATGTAAAAAACAAAGCAAAYATTTCAAACAAGAAGAAGAGAATAGTAATCCAACTAACTGATGAATGGTGTCTACATTGAAGTGTTGTCCAGAGGTCTTTTGTCCAMCCYGATGTACTAGCATGGCTGAARGTATCAAGTTCTTCCCTTATGACCTCAAACAATCGTTTGTAGCCATCTTGAGATGACAAGCCTGTCCAATCATCTTTCTGTTGATAATTATAAAATCTGTCTGTATTGTAGCACTGAAGGATCTTATGAAACAGTTTTGTACAATTTTATTAAGGCTATAGGAAATGTGCTCAGAGACCTTATACTCTCTCCTTCAAATTGGTCTTGGGGAAAAAGTATGTAAGGGGGCAAACTGTGAATACAACATTTGCAGCTGTCATATACATTGTGGGAATTAACAGAATTAGGAGGAAATTATATCTCTTTTCTAATTCATTCAGCTATTTGATTTTTTCACTAATATTATAGACAGACAGTTGGCTGGTTACCTGTTCAGCTTGCAGTGACAACAATTCCAGTTCAAGATCTGTGTTTTCTCCTGTGTCGACCTGAAATGTATACAGTAGCTCTCCTTAGCGTCTTTTTGGTTGAGTATATTAATTTATTCACAAGTCCTTATGACTGAAATCAGAGCTGTTCCTAAATCAATAGTAAATTAAGCTTATAGGTCCSGTTTTCACAATACTCACTCCTTCTCGATGTCTCCAACTCCATGTCCGCTTTATGGAAGGACTAAACTCTGACTCAAGAAAAAGCTGGTCCTCCATATTTATTTTCCAGTCGACGCGATACCCATTCACTATTATTAAAGCTTAGTAGCTAAAAACATCGAACTCGCCTATACTTGTCAGGGATGGACCTCAGAAAGAAAGGCACGAAACCTTTGCACTTTATTTCAACCATCAAATAAAAGAGCTTATTCACCTGTTTCAAAATAATTCAACAGCTGGAGCTTTGAAAAATCGGATATGAAGGATGTTGTTTTCGGACATCTTTAGCCGCCATCTTGGACGAGTGGAACTCCCGCGCTCACGGGACCCGTTCCCAATCTTTCCGCACAAGACCAGGCACAAGACGCTCTCAGAGCGTATACCTGGGTATAGTTATGACCTGGGTTGTTTTAATATCGGTAGATGGGYCGCAAATGACTTTCCACTCTTTTATAAGCAGCGTGATTGCGTAAATGATTATAGGAAGCATGCTTGACAGTAAAAAACAGTAAAAAAATAAAATAAAATGAAACATTTGATTTTTAAATGTAACTTGTTTATTCATTTTTAGTTCAGTTAAACAACCTTAAAATAAATATAAGAACTTTTTGTTACTCCTATACACCTTTTGATAAATTATTATTAATTCTGTGGAAAATCCAAGCATAAATCTGTATCATTGAKCAGAGAAAAAAAGAAAGTATATGCCACAAGTTTACAAAAAACACTATATGCATAAATATTATAAACTACACCATCTAAATATAGATATTTAAAATCTTTGATTTTATCATTTTGGATCAATTCCACACTATCTTAGTTSTACATCTACAAATTTGACAATAATAATGCTATATATTTATGTCTGATATATGGTTTTAACACATCTATACCCTCATTGAATTTTTTCCTTTGAGTGTGATTTCAACTCACAGTAAATTTACACACCAACATTACAATGATTGGATTTGACAATTTTACTYCATGAGAGYAATCCACTTTCAAAAGATGCTCAAGATAGATACAACTGCAATGTTTTTTTTTTTACAAATCTACAAAAGAATCTTTAACTAGAATTTTTAATATGCATTTTGCCTGGCAATATGTCTATGTATTAATTGTGCCTTTACTTGATTTCCCCTGAAGCCATGGCCTAATACCAAATACAACAAAAAACGTTAGAAAATATACTTATTTAAATTTCATTCT